GGCCTGCAGAGGAGCATTTATTCCCAGTCCCAGCAGCAGTACCATTACCCGGCCTCCTCCCAGGGGGGCTGCATGGAGATCCAGGAGCTGGCCTCCAAGAGGGTGGACATCCAGAAAAAGCGATTTTATCTGGACGTGAAACAGAGCTCCCGAGGCCGCTTCCTGAAGATCGCCGAGGTGTGGATAGGAAGAGGCAGGCAGGACAATATCAGGAAAAGCAAGCTGACCCTCTCCTTGTCCGTGGCCGCCGAGCTGAAGGACTGCCTGGGGGACTTCATCGAGCACTACGCCCACCTGGGCCTGAAAGGCGGCCCCGGTCACCGGCACGAGCACAGCAATGACAAAGAGCAGCATCCCCGGAGGCGGCAGCAGCACCCGCCGCCATCGCCTCCGGTGTCCGTCGGCTCCGAAGAGCACCCTCACAGCGTCCTCAAAACGGAGTACATCGAGAGGGACAACAGAAAGTATTACCTGGACCTGAAGGAGAATCAGCGAGGGCGTTTCTTGCGGATTAGACAAACCATGAGTAGGGGACCTGGCATGATGGGTTATTTTGGCCACAGCTTGGGACAGGAGCAGACGATCGTCCTTCCAGCGCAAGGGATGATTGAGTTCAGGGATGCTTTGGTCCAGCTGATCGAAGAATACGGCGAGGGGGACATAGAGGATCGCCGGGGGGCAGGCGATGACCCCCCGGAGCTCCCCGAGGGCACCTCCTTCCGAGTGGACAACAAGCGCTTCTACTTCGACGTGGGATCCAACAGGTACGGCATTTTCCTGAAGGTAAGTGAGGTGAGGCCGCCCTACCGTAACACCATCACGGTTCCGTACAAAGCGTGGACACGGTTTGGGGAAAATTTTATCAAGTACGAAGAAGAGATGAGGAGAATTTACAACAGCCATAAAGAAAAAAGAATGGATGCCAGAGGGGACAGTGGTGAAGAGCAAGAGGGTCTGGAATAGAGTGCATTGGACTGGCCGTCTGGCAAAATAAACAAAACAAGCAGAAATTGGTGAGAGGGACTGACCTATAGTAATTTCAAGTCGCCCCATTTTTGTTTTTTTTTTTTCTTTTTTTTGTAAAGTCCTTTTCCGGTAGTTCTTGCTAACTCCAGTCCGTAATGTTACAGGAGTCTGGTTATCACGTTAAATTACACCCCAAACATCTCCGTATGTCTTATGAAAGTACCGACCTCCCGAGTCCGTATGAGTCAGCTGCTTCGAGTGTTGAAGACTGTGGAAGTACGCGTATCAGCACACAAAAAAAAAAAAAATCCGGCACTCTGACCTTTAAATAGTCTAGATAAGGCTCGTGTTGCACTTCAACGTGATACAGAAAAAAAAACCAACCACAACACCCAAACCTTATGCTGAAATGTATCGGTTTCTGCTTATGACGGGTTTTCCGGGACTGAATTCTGCCTGTACTCGTTCGAAAGGCTGAGCAGCGTAGCCGTAGGGCGTTTACAACAAAAATCGACTTTGTGTGAATTGCTGGTTTGGGTACGAGGAGAGGTAGAGGTTTTAAAATTGGCATCTGCTGGTCATTCAGTTTGAGACGATATTCTATGTGGGTAAAACCTCGATAACTGGTCAGACCTTGATAACATGCTGGTGAGGAGCGGAAGGTTTGTTATTTGTCTTGTAGTTTTGTGCTGACCGAATAACCCGAGTACCCCAGGATAGCGAAGCTCTACTCGAGTGCTAAGCCTTCTGAGTTAATGGCAATGAACAACAACCCCCTCCTCATCTACATGTTCTGCCCGTGCGAGGCTGGTGGGGTTTTTTAACTACTATTTTCAATGCATTTGTCCAAAATTTCAAAAGGTGGTTTTCGTATTAGGGACGTTATGGGTTCCAGCAGGCGGCTGTGGAGCGGGTATTCAGAGGTGGAGGGACCGCCGCGACCGAGGCTCCCGCCTTCTCTCCCAAACGTGAGATTAATGCGGTCGTGATGTTACCAGCACGAGGAAAACACCCGGGGGGTTTTTCTCCTCCCGCTGCGAGAAAGACCTTTGGGGGGTTTGGTGCACCATTAGATTCGTATAAAAAGGCGTCTCTCTCGTACTCACCCGTAGCGCGTTTCGGAAGCCGTGGTTAACGTCGCGTCGGGTTTTCTGTCGTGTTGATTTTACAGGTGGTGTTGTTAGGGGATAATATCCGTGCCCTGCCATCACCATCACCCCCTTCCCACCCGCTCAGAGCTGGGGCTGTCGTCAAGCCATTCGATTCCTCATCGCCCACCGCCAGGTTCCCGTGTCGTCCCGCTAAAGTCTCTGTAACGTAAATTTTACATCTGGCGATACAAACTCTCTGCCTGGAGGGAAAAATGTGTACGATTACCCATTTAGGAGGTTGGTGAAAGGTTTTGAAAATTCTCTCTTGTTTATTACAACACAAATACTTATATATATATATAAGGGGCTTTTCCAGCCCTTGGGCGACCAGCTCCCTCCGCTCTGAAACCAGCGGGTTCTTCCAATTACGCGTTGCGCACCTTTAAGATTTTTTTTTAAAGTCGGCATTACTGTGTCTAATCAGATATCTATAATCCTTTGAATCAGGTGGTTTTTGTCTTTTTTCCAGAGTGGCCTAGTGTGCATGTGGACCAGCTATTTTCCATGCAACCATTATATGTCATTTTTTTTGTTTTAATTTGTTGAGAAACTTATTTATCTCCCAACCGTTCGTCGCTCGTAGTCTGGAGCCACCTGCACGCTGCACGGCCACGCTCAATCCGAATGCTATTACCTGTTAACGTCATTAACCATAACGAGAAAAGTTGGGGAGGCAGGGGTGGGAACCAAGAGGATAATCTGGACTTTAGTTCGGGTACTAAAACTAGTTGATCTGTTTTAACTTTAAAAAAAAAAAAAGGTAAAAAAAAAAAAAAAGAAAAAAAAGAAAAGCTTGCACCAAAGTCACCAAAGAACCTTTAGGAAAATGTTACGGTTGTGACAAGAAGTAAGAAAGTTAATTTCACTGTTTTAGGTGATTCCCCCTTTAGGTAAAACCACACGTAGCAGTTACAGCAACCAAGCCTTTGGCTTAGTGCCAAAAACTCCCGTCCGTTTCTGCGTAGATCGCTCTTTCAGGTACTTTTTCCAACTCTCGGAGAGATGTTCTCGCTCCACCACTCCAACAGCTAGCGGACCGGGATGAATCAGCTGGAGGTTAAACCGGGTACTGGTTCATCGTCGCTCTTAGGGCTTTGGTCCCAATGGTTTTAACAGGTCAATTCAAACAAACAAACAAATAAACCAACCGCAAAACCAACATTAAAATAACTCTACATCCTCTTATTGGTGTGAAACCAGAATTTCGTGAATGAGTCCTTGATGCGTACGTTAGCGTATTGCTGACTGCTGCTGCCCGTCACAGTGCCTGGAGTAAAAAATTAACTTATATTCCAACAAACCGGAGCTATGAATGTACAAACTTTTTACGCTCTGCTTCCCCTTCCCGTTTCTACGTGGCATTCCTCCCCCGCCAGCTTGACATCTCCCCGTCCCAGCCTACCTTTGCCTCAAGGGATCGTAAAAGCTCCTACGTTGGAATTACCCGAGTGACCGCGTGTGTTGTAAGTGATCATGCCTTCCCCGTGTTCCTGTAGCGTTGGTGAGGAAAATACTTGCGACGGGCAAAGCAATTGGAAAGGGATATTTTCTTCACCGTTTTAAAAGAGAGAGAGAAAAAAAAAAAGTGAAATGGCTTTCCTTATTGCTGCCCATTTTTTTAAATCCCCCTTTATCTTTTTTTTTTTTTTTAATTAGTTGGCCTTCTGATGGCATTAGTTTGTTGTAAATATCACCCAGTAATTCAGCGTCTGCTGGCTACCGGGTCAGGCTCGGTTCTGGCACGCAGGTATCCCATAGGATCCACTAATTCATTTACTCCCCCGGCACGGGATGCACCTTACTATCCGAAACTGGATCGGGATCTTCACGTTCGTAGCCGATCGCCCGTGGGTAAACCACTAGCCGTGGGTTTCCACCGCAATGGAAAGCACCGACGTTGTCAGATGTTGTCGTTGGAGGGTAATACGGACTCACTGGAAATGTAGCAATGCAAGACTTGAACGGTGAGATTTGGAAACGGGTTCCTTGGTTCGTTTCGGCAGCGCGTCTGCAGCTTCCGAGGGCGGCGCTAACGTGGGCTGCCGGCGCGCAGAAGGGCCCGGCGAGATGCTCGGGAACGCCGAATCCCTAATGCGTTTTTAAATGTTCATTCCCGATGCCCTGAAACTGCCATGTCCCTTAAACTTGAGAAAACACAAGCTTATTTGCACTAGAAAGAACGGCCAAAAACAATCCTTAGGAGGACAGGGTGAAGAGCACCAGTCTGAACCTCTTTTTTTCTCATGAGAGAATTTCCTATTCGAGCCCTCACCTCTGTTTCGAAATTGTATGGTCCCGGCAGAAAGTCTGTCAGTTCAATAATTAAATCGTAATGCACTTTATATTGTGTAAATAATACGAGGAGCACATTTCTGCTCCCGCTCTGGTAAGGGGATGCTTTGGTAATGTAGTCTAATGCTGAAAGAAGCCGTCTCCTGCCTGCACGTGTCTGTTAGAGACCTGTCGTACTTGCTTGGTCCGGCTCCGCTCGTATGTTAGAGGAGGACAGGCACTATATTGAGGATCCTCTCAAACCACCAAGAGTGGGATGATTTTGGGTTGGGGTTGTTTGTTTGTTTTTTATTATTATTTTGTTTTGTTTCTTAAAGTTGCGATTTGCAGAGCTGCTGAGCATCCTCAGCTCCGCCCTCGCCCCTTCTGCAAATCCAGCTCCCGACGTCGCTGCCGAGGCTTAAACCCAAAGCTTTTCACCTCTAGTCTCGACAAAGCCGAGTCCAGCGGCTCCCTCGTACTTGGCTTTCCCCGCTGTGGGCACAGAAGTTGAGGTTGGGGGGTCCCTAAAAACCTTATCCCGGGCGGAAGGGGCTGCGGGGGCTTCCCCTGCCTTGCAGCGGGGTGTTGCGTTGAGTTCAGCCCATCGAGATGGCTTTCTCGGTAAAGTTTGGAGGCAGGGGCGCGCTAACGAAGGGTCGGGAAGCGTTTTGCACTGATGCAGCGAAGGTGACCCGGCGGGGCGCTCCAGAGGAGATGGCAAAACCCACCGTCGCGGGTTCGTCGCGTCGAGTCCAAATGATGGACTTGACCCAGCAAGAAGCTGCGGCGGTTATTGGTAATCTACTCGTCGTCGTAAGTGTTTCTTATCTGTATCCGATATATACAAATTCATATTCACGTATAGGCATTAATATATTTATGTGAGTATATTGTAGCCTGTAGTAGCTCGTAGCAAAATAATCTTATTTATCTGAAGTACGCAGTCTAAAGAGGGGGCAGTTTTCTCCTTTTACCGGTCTAGATAAACACGTTATTTCACCGAGAGCTGGTTGCGTGCTGGTCGTCGCGCCCCTTGTAAGATTTCTGCTTTTAAGCGCTCTCATCCCTTAGGTTTTCGGCAAGGCTGCAAGGGAAAACGTAGTCAAAAGACGGCAAAACTCTTCCTTGGAGGCGTCGTTTGGGCGAGGTGAGGTGAGAGCTGTAAGGAAGAGGCAGCTGCAGGTACTGCCGTGTTTCCATGCCGTTTTACAACGCTCTGCAAATCTGTACTACCATGTTCATAAAATCCCTAGTAGAAGTATTAAAAACCTATCCTCTATTAAAAAAAAAAAAAAAAGAGCAAACAATTACCAAAATCAATGTCGGCGCACTTTTTTTTCTGCTAAAGATGTTGTAGTCTAATGATTGCATCATTATTTTTTTTTTCCATATGGCCTATTTATGTGACCTAAACTCACAGGGAAGGGAGTCGGTAGCGGTTAGGAAGCCTACTGCTCGCTTGACTCGCAGCCCTTTTATCCAAGCGTAGTGATTTTTATAGCAGAAAAAGGTTTATTGTTCTGTATTTTTGTTGGGCAGATTTTGCACCACATCGAAAATTAATTAATAAGCGGTTTTAGTTCCATGGCATTTCTGCTTTTGCTGTACGTACAGTATATATATACCATTTATAAAATAATTCTTAAAGAGAAGTATACCTTCTGTTTAATTTTTTATGCTGCTTCCTCCAAAATTAAAATGCCTTTTATTTTTGATTACTTAACGTGTTGTGACGTCTAAAATTCACCTTTCCTACCCCTCCGTCCCTTTCAAGTAAAGGTTGTCTTCGAAATAAAGAGTTTATCCAAGTAAGAGTGGAAATAAATCGTCCCGCTGGCGTTGATCCTGCCGGCGTGAGCGCTGGCAGCGGGGAGCAAAGCTTCTCCAGCGTTTCCGAGATTTCCTGGGAGAGCGTGATACATCCCCGTAGGCTGCCGGCAGGGTGGGACCACGGACCTCGTCCCCTTGGATGGGCATGTTGGCGGTGGCTTGAGGTGGCAGCAGGTTTAAGCCATCCTCTTCATAGCTGCGTTGTTGTTTTCCGGCTGTAGGGCATGCTGCCCGTTGGGCAGTGGGTATATCATCTTTACACTATTGATGCTAGCGTGGTGATGTCTTCTCTTGACCCCTCTGTCCTTTCACTTTCATCTGGAGACATTAAAATTTCGTTGCGTAGGGGCAAAACCAAGCAAATTTGAGCATCTGGAGAAAGAAGATTCACCTGTTAGGCTTTTTTCTTCTGGGTAGACGTGAAACCTGCGCGGGACTGTGGTTCATGTGGAGGGTCTTGGTTGCCCTCCGTGTCCTCCACGCTTGCAGTTTGTTATCGCTTAGCCCGTCAGTGCTGTGAAATCACGGCTGTGGACCTTTTTGGGGGGATGCGGTCTTGCCTAAAAATGGCTGAATTCTGTTGTGACCACAGGAAAAAAGCCCCAGCGGGGGGACAAGGTGCTTCTGGACTCGGGCGCTTTGGAAAACGCTAAAGCCAGATCTTTCACCACTCTGTTTCTCCAAAATCTGCAGAAGCTTTCATGGGCTGACGCTGATTTTCTCACACCTGCGTTCCGTTCCCCACCTGTACCTCCGTAAAAGCAACTATATTTTAAAGCGTTGAGGTGAAATAAAATATAAGGAACTCCTGATAGGTGACATGGATTGAAAATTGGTTTTCCAGAAATGTCAAAGCGTAAATTGAGGTTTTAGAAGGCGGACGTCGTTTTGGCGTTTCTGTGATGGATGTGATTAGATCGTTCCTTCCACACGCCGAGGCATCATGTGAAACGTGAACGTGCAGCCTCGGGGCTCTCTTACGTACGTTAACTTCTAGAAAGGTGTACGCTGGATGTACCTTCTGGCCTTTTCGTGCTTGTTGGACACGTTTTGTGTTTGTACGGTATCCAGAGGTACTGGTCTAGCCTCGAGGTGCCTGGCTGCCACCCCAGTAAAACCATCATTAACGGTTTGCTAATTCATCTTCCTAATTGATGGGCTACCTCGAAACGCTTGGAGTGGCGCAGGGAAGTTGCTAGCTCTATGCAGATTAGCCGCTGTAAATAAAAAAAAAAAAAGACATACTCCATCTTTTAGGTGTTTCAGACCCATCCTACGTACTAGTATTCCACAGGGAAGGATAACGGCCTCTGTCTCGGAGTTGGTGGCGGGAAACACAGCCAGTCAGATGCGTTTTTTAACCACGGGAGGGGAAATCCACCTGGCAGGCAGAAGCGTGCATCTAGCTGTTTCTGCATGTTGATCGTTTGCCACGCAGAGATTAATTGGAGGAAAAGATCGCCCTTCGTGTCGGTTGCTGGAAGACAGCTAAAGCTGTCCAAGCACGGTGCTGATACAACATCTGTGAATTTGTATGTGTCACCCACAAATTAACACAGAGAGAAGAGAGAGAGGAATATTTTTTATATATATATGCATATACATATTAAAAATAGTAATTTTTTTTTCCTGTTTCCTAGAGACCCTTCCCTTTTGACACGTTAAAATGTTAGCTGTCGTCTTTTTCTGTTTTCCGTATCAGAGATGTTCAACGTGCAATACGAGCGGGGAGATAAGATTTCACGAGCAATATCAACGTGCCGTACTATTAACGCTAAATCTTTACACTACAAATCGCGTGCAATAGAATCTGCACTTCAAAACAGCAGAGAGTACGTGGGATAAAAGACATGGGTTAACCTCAGGCTCTTACAAGTGTTCCCATCTGGTCGTTGTTCTGAGCGTATGTTGTTGGCACGATGCGGAGGGAGAAGGGGGAGTAAGAGCCGAGAGAGAGAAGCGCTTCCCACCGAGGCAGGGGAACGACAAGGCAGGAGGGGGCGGAGGGAAGCGAGGACAAGATTCGTCCTCCCCGGGGGGAACGGCAGAGCATGACGATGGTTTTATCTGCGGTAGGAGGAATAGGTGGCACCGTCAGCGCTGGAGCCCCACGGAGCCAGGGAAGGAGGCAGAGCCTGGATCCTAATGCTCCTCTCGGGGATCTCCTTGGCTGGGTCTCCTTCCCCTTTGGGGCACACCAGTCCGGCATTAACATGCTCGGCAAGCGTCGAGTCTCGCTGACAAACCCATCGGGGCCAAGCGGGTCCGACGGATGGAGTTATTACTTTTGCAGCTTGCTTTTTAAGGCTCAAGTGGCTTAGTTCTTCCCAGGAATGCCTGCAGAAGTTTCGGGGAGCATATAAGTGTTGGTGGCCTGTCAGGTTTGCTGATGACATCCCAATTTATGCATGCTCGCGTCTGCTTTTCGCCGGAGCCTTGCTCGGCAGGATGCTCTGACTGCCTCCCGCTCCCGGATCCAGCCAGGGCTGTGTGCCGGAGGGTTACCTCGTCGATGGGGCAGCTGCTTTTTTCCATTGCAGAAGAAGGGCGTTGGTGAAGGCTGGAGGGGATCCGAGGGAAAGAAAGCGGCTTTCAAGAAACAAAGTCCATGCCTGTACCTTTGCAAAGGGGTTTGCGTCATTTTTAATGAGATTCTTTGCAGATGATCACCGCTTGCATCGCCTTTATTTTCCTGGGCCCCCGGCGTCGGTACTCTGAGGTCTGATGTACAGAAGCGGTCGGTGTAACCAGCTGTCGAAAGCTGTGCTTTGGGCAAGGGAAGTGCTGTCGTAATTGCGAGGACTCCGGAAAAGCCGTTGGTATCTCAATCTGGGCCTCCTGATAACGGAGACGGGGTCATGTCGGCTTTATTCTGCCCGTGCTTATGTTCCCCACCCATGAAATGGGGTGGATGATACCTCCCTACCTCAAAGGGGTGTGACAAAGGCAAGTTCGTTTGGCGTTAGAGTTTTTGCGATAATCTGATGCTGATCAATACTGATGATCGCCGAAAGCAAACCGAGAAGGAATTTGGTGTGAAACGTACTGAGTAGATACGTGTGCGGTGTTTGGAAGGTACGCGTAGGTAAGGCTTGGATTGCATACAGAACGATGAATGGATAAGAAACCTATATCCTAAAGGAGGAGGGAAAGTTGTAAGAGATTGAGTGATTAAGCTCTCTATGCATATGTCCAAAGCAGTTGCAATTAAGGTTACTCAGATAATCCTTAGTTCTGGCATTTCCTGACCTTCGATTGCTCGGTTTTCCAAATTGTTTTCTTCTCCGCTGTTTCCTATGAAGCTATATCGGTGTACTGTTCAATAACACCAGGTTGTTTCAGGATCCACATCATCTCTATTATTCCCAAGTTGAAGAACCTGGAAAAAAAATCTGCTCTTTTAAATCTCCAGTGATGGATATTCCCAGCTTCCCTCCCCAAGCGGTTCCAGTGCTTCACCCTGCTTACTCTCACTTTTCCAGCCCCTGTGTAATTCCATCACTTTTTGCCTTACAGGCCATGGTCTCGAGAGGAGTTAGGGAAACAATTTGTTCCCTTCCTTGCTGCAGCTCTTTTACGTAATTGAAGACTGTTGTCAAGTCTCTTCTGCATCGTTTTTCTAAGCAAATACAAAGCCTTCCAACCACGGGTAATTTTTAGCCCTCGTCACGTTCTTGTTGCTTTCTGATGAGTCCGTCTTCTTGAATCCAGAATTACAGAATCCAAAATCGAGAGAGGTGTTTTCGCTGCGATCATCTTCGAGTGGAAGGATTGCAAACCATACAAGGCTTTGTGCACCCGGTACACTGTGGTTTTGCAACAGCGTATTCGCTGCCTCCGGACCAGTTTGTAACTCCGCGTCCTCCCAGGTCCTCTTTGGTAGAGCCACTACCAAGGCTGTCATTTCTCACTCTCTGTCTCTACGGTAGTTCTTGCCCTTCTTCAACAGTTTTAGAGAATCCAGACTATTAAAATACCAGAGCACCCATTTTTCCACAAAGCTTTGCAACAGAAATCTCTTCTGCACGTGGCAGGGCGGCAGAACACCATCTATCGTTCGTGCCTCTGCTTATTTCTGAAGAGGACATAGAAAAAATACCCCGTCGACAGGCATTCTCCTGAATATTAAATATCCTCCTAAATGCTAAATATTATGACACTCTGCCCATCTTCACGGTAGAAGCAGTAACTCTGGCCCTAACAGGATACCTTTTTAACACAGATGTAAAGAATGTGTCTAGTGACAATATAAGCTCTCTGTGCCAATTTTTGGGGAAATTCAGGCTTTCCCTTGTGTTCCCAAATCTCCACAGATTG